ACACAAAAATGTATCATGACTTTTCCAACAACCCAATATAATTAAAATTAAGTAGACAGGTGGACTATATATCTATAAATTTAACTTTAGGATAGTAAAGGTCACATTCTAAAATATTTATTATAAGAAGGATCTGGTATGGTTGAGGATCACTGTTATAAATAGATCCTGAGGATAACAGATTGCAGTGCTGAGACAAATAAGAAAATGTGGGACCAGCAGGTTGCATAGTAGTTAAGGTGCTGGATTCCCAGATGGCCAACCGCAGTTTGAGTCCCAGACAAGGTGTGTGTGTGTGTGTGTGTGTGTGTGTGTGTGTGTGTATGCATGCCCCAAATCCCAGGTGAATAGAGGATACTGGCTTTTGTTGTGGTCATCCTTCCTGGGGGCTGATTTCTCACTTTCTGTCTCTCTAGTGAGTGCATGCACCCTATCTCAAATCTCTCTCTCACACACACAAAGAAAACTTTGCATTTGCCAGATAATAGCCACAGATTGTGCTTTGTTCTGTCTAGCCATCTCACTTAATTTTTTCCTCATGCATGTTAGATAAGTAGTACTGCTCTATAGAGGGGATACTGAAGCTCAAGGAGGATTATCAACTTCGTTCATTCATCCAGTATTTTATTATCTACTATGTGCATTACAAGTGTATGGGAGCTGAGAGGGAAAAGACACAATTTCTGTCCTCAAGAAGCTTATATTCTAGTGAAGGGGAGAAATTATAAAAAGAACCAAGAAATAGATAAGACAATGGCAGGTTTGATGGGTTTCCCAAAGAGACCTGAATGAAGTGACTTGACAAAACTTTCCCAAAGTCTCATGGCTAGTGAGTGGTAGAGGTTCCACTTGGGCACAAGCACTGCTTTTGATGGCACTCCTATCACTGATTGCAAGGTCACTTTCCCTTTGGAGGCTGTCTAGAAAGAAACAAGAATATGACAGTGAAGAAATAAGAAGGAAGTTGTTCAAAGCAACTATTACTGAATTATTTTTTTCTTTTATATTCCCATTAGATGAAGTCTTTTCTCTGCCCACACGATGCTGGTGATTACAATGGTTTCCAGTTTTGTACTATCAGTATTTTAGTTTGTTATATTACTTACATTTATTGGGATTAATTTCTAAGTAAATAATGTGAAATACTTTTCCTGTTTCTTAAGTGCGATTTTCAGAAACATCCTTTGTTTTTTTTTTTTTCCTGTGACAATATATCTCTCATATTCAACTTCTGACAAATATATCCATTCCTTAAAATTCAGAAAATGTGTACTGAAAACAGATATAGGTATCCTTAAAAAATAAAATAACAGGGTCTTTGGGCCAGATATTTGAAAGAGTGATTGTAGTTATTTTGCAGATTAATGGTAGAGCGGTAACTAAAGGCTTTGTTAAAGTAAGGAAAAAAACAACCAATGGTTTAAAAACAAGCAAAAAGAGTGGCCCACAAGTCTAAAGTCTAGACTGTGAGAAAGCATGAGGAGTGTTTCAATACTAAAGAACCTGGAACGAGGCCCCAGAAAGCAGTGGTTAAGTACTGTGTAGAAGGCTCTGGATCCTACAAAATTGATCATGGCTTGAATCCTTGTCATGACAGCTTGAAAAGCATGTTGGATATGTGCACATGTGCCCCAGATCCTGACAAGATAGAAAAAGGGAGGGAAAAGGGATTGCTGCATGACCAAGCCCTGCTGGAGGTTGCTCTCTCTCTCTCTCTCTCTCTATCTCTCTCTCTATCTATCTCTCCCTCTCTCCCAACTCTGGTAAATATGCATGCACTCTCTGGCTAAACAAAACATAACAAAACTTGGAAAGTTATGTTCTGCCCTCAAGGAAAAAAAATCTGGGTTAGAAAATGTAGTTATTGGTACTCTTAAAAATTAGTCTTGAATCCTTGTTCAGGTTATGTATTTTTTTTTAGTTAGCAGAGTGATTAGTAAATGTCTATGTTTGGTTGTTTTATTCGTACTTTCATCTTTACAGAAATAAATAGAATGAAATAGGGAGAAAACTTCTCTCTAGGTCCTCATTCTTGGTGACAAAAAGCCATACCCTGCATTGTACCACTACAGATCAAGCAGTAGTTCTTGCACTGTGACTGTTTTCCTAGGGGAAATAAAAGCTTTAGGAGGACAAACTTTGTAAACTTATAAAATAATGACAATGATTTCTCCACTTACACATCATGTGGCGCTCACACAAACTCTTACATGAATTACATTTATAGAAAACACGTTAAACACTTACTCATCTTTTTTATTCAGTATTCAGCTTTTATATGATGTTCTTCAAGATACCGTGAAGATTCCAACCCTGTGTTCTATATTTAAATGGCTACAACAAATAAAAGATGATTTTTACATGTGTATATTTCATAGAAATTCTCCTCTTACTTTTGACTTCTTTTAACTTTATAGATGCTTGATATTTTGACAAAATCCATCTAACATTATGAAGTTAAATATATTGCTTTAAAGGCACACTTTTCCACTAATGATAATTAGTAGTCTTACAATGAACAGCACGGTTAATTTCTCAAGCAGCATTACTTGCATTAATTTCATAAATTTGAGGGTTAACTTCAAATTGTTTCTGTAATAATATTTTAGTATTCACCACCAGATCTATACTGGTCATTTCAGACTCTGGGGAGTTCAGTATCTATCTTGTACACTCAGTTCATCTTTTGCAGCTATATTGGCCAACTTGCAAATGTATCTGTAGTATGCCTGGATGGTTGTGTAGAGAAAGCAGCTACTCTCTGGGGGCTAATGTCTCCTCTCCACCAATCAGAATGCAGTTCATGATTCATTAGGTTTGTTGGCTAGATTATTTAACTTAATTCAGTATAAATTATTTAATTCCTAAAGCCTTCCTGGTATTCAGTATGAATGAAACAATTATTCCTGGACACAATCATCCAAATAACACCACGCAGTTTTATCAAGTCCCAAGATAGTTATTAAATCCCAGCTATTCAATGCTTTACATAAACTACTCATGCTGAGTTTTTGAAGGTATAATGTTACTGAAATTGTTTGGATTCAATAAGGGACTGTATGTTATTCTATATTTAATGAGAGAACATCCCAATTACATAGCAATGTGAGAAATCATAAAATATTTCTAGGTAGCAACTTTGCCCTTGTTTTGATAGCTTCCTTTCTTTTATTTATTCCTGTCTGAGGGGAAAAGAGCATCTCCATTTTTCCCAAATGCAAAACTGCTGCCAAGAAGCGTTCCTTTAGGGGATTTATCCTCTGACATCGTGTCTAGCAGGTCATTGGCTGGTGGAAACAGCATATATGGCTGATATGTTTTCCCTCTTGAATATAAATAAATGAGATACATCCCCAAGCACGGTGTTCCTTGTCTTAGGTTTGGTTCCCTGGAAACAGACTGTGAGATGGGGAACTGCGTGCTGGAGCAAGTCAGGATTGGTGGAGGGCAAAGCTCAAGCTCAAGCGCAATGCCATGGCATTATAGCTGAGGCTCAGCCAATCTTGGAGGGCACTTTGGGGCTAGGATGGCCTTCACAGGTATCCTGAATTGAGACAGGAGTTGGGCCTTGGAATCTCTGTATCAGCCAGTCACTGGCTTTGTGTTGCTTCCTGGGAGGAGGTGTGACCCTGTGGGCAAAGGCAATGTCCCACAAGCTAGCAGAAGCCCGAATTCCCAGCAGCTTGAGAAATGAATCCTAAGTGCCTCGTGGAATTCTTGGAGCACCACTTCTACTACTCTGATCTCATGGAGAACCTGGATGAGGAATACTGACAGAGACTGAGATGGGGGGAGCAGTGCTATTTCTTTTATACAGAGTCTTGGCTCTTTTCTCTCAACAAAGCTCAACTTAAATCTATAAAAATGTATTGCCCATCTTTTCCCTTTCTCTTTTTTCCCTTCTTGGTCCTAAACAAGAACAGGAATTCAGTAAGGTAGACCCCAGGGAAATTTGACCCTGGAGAATAACAAACAGCCTACTGCAATTCCCATGAGACCAAGCTGGAAATGTCAGAGGAGGAGTTCCCAAGGTCTGCTTAGAGACCTGTGAATAGAAGAGCACTTGAAGAAGGAAAGAAGGAAAGGAGCCCCAAGGAAGCTGTTTTGTTTAAGAGAGGATGTAAGTCATAAGTGATAGTTAGTTTCTTTCACTTATTACTCTTTACAGAAGCAAGCAAAGTATATTTGTGTCTTTACATTGATATTTCTCTAGCTAGTCACATTTATTTTCTCCAATCTTGTTTGGTTTGTTTATTTATTTAATTTTTCAGAGAAAGAGAGACACCCTGGACAAGGTTGTCATGCTGCAACCCACACCCAGCCCCTCAGCCAGCCCAGATCACAGGTACAGCCCTTCCCCTAGCCTGTGCAGAGAAGCCTGAGGATGGGAACCACAGTCCTTGCCACACAGATTCAGCTGCACCACCTACTAGCCTCATCTCTCCAGTCTTAAGGAAGGTCCTTTACAGCTCTCAGGTAGAGACAAAAGGTAGTTTTTGTCATCAGGGTCTCCTCTTACCCCTACCTTATACCTGTCCTACTACTTTCTGTTTCATGATCCTTTCTCTCACTCATTTATTCATGGTCATTCATTTATTTATCATTATTATTTTAGGGGTATTTGCCTTAGGACTCATGTACTCATCAGAGAGAGCAAGAGACAGAGACAGTGAGAGGGAAAGTGAGAAATCACCTCCCAGGGGACATGGCCATGCTGCAGTCCCTTCTCTTCCATTCTCCTCCTGGGATCTTAGGCATGCAAGCACACAACACCCAGTGTGATTTTTAAGTCATCAGGTCTGGGACTCAAACCATGTTTGGACATGTGGGAATCCAGTGATGTGACTGCGACACCATCTTCTGGTCCTTATTTATTAATTTTTTGAACTCTTCTATGTACCACTTTTTTCTGGATATCTTGATTCCCAATTCATTGCTTGGAACTTTTGACAATTGTTTTGTTTTCTTTGTGGTGTCTGTGTGTCTGACTTTTGACGCAGGTGGTCCTGATCTTTGCTCTCTGTACATGCGTTAGACTTGGACCTTTTTCATCTAAGCAGAAGCCACTAATTCCTGCTCAACAAGCCTGGCCTGATGTCTTCTCCGGATAAGACCTGTAAGTGGTTTCTGAAAACTCCTTTTGCCTTCGAGTCTTGACTCATTTCCTCTGATAAATTCTCTGCAGGAATCACGAGCCACTGCCACCCAAGGCAAACAGAGATCAAAATATTCCTAAGTAAGAATGGCTTTGGTAAATACTGTATGGGAAAGCCAGAATGTGGAGGTAGAGGACACCACTTAGGAATGTGGAAACTGAAAACAAAGTGAGACCAGCAGTTTATTAATTACAAATGAATCTTTGACTTTTTATACATATTTCTTTACCTCTTTTCCATTTTATTTCTCTTGCAGGAACTGAACCTAATTTTACATGTTGTTTTTTTTTAATTCTTAGAGGACGTGAACACTTGCTAGAGGGAGAGAGAGAGAGAGAGAGAGAGAGAGAGAATACCCCCATCAAAGGGGCAAGATCACACTGGAAACTCTTCTCTTCCATTTCTCCATCCTGTTGGAATTTTGGGCACGCATATGTTTTTCAAGCCACTGGTGATGGGATATGAACTGTGGTTGGCCATGAGGGATCCTGCTTTCTTTTTTTTGAGAGGTTTTCGCTATAGGACGCGTGCACTTGCCAGGCAGACAGAGACATAGAGACACAAAGCGAGAAATCACCCCCCAGAGGGGATGGTCACGCCGCAATCCCTTCTCCTCCATTCTCCTCTTGGGATCTTGGGCACACACGCACTCGTGCCCGGCGTGAGTTCTAAGCCACTGGGTCCGGGATGCGAACCATGGTCGACTACGTGGGAGTCCAGCAACATAGCCATTATGCTAACTGCTGGTTCCCCTGCTTTCTTAACCAATAGGCTATATGGCTAGCCTGGGGCCAAACCTAATTAAATAATTACTCTACTTTAGTTTGGAAAATATTTTGATGTTTCTGATTTTATTCTAGTCCAATAGTTTTAGGTCAGTTTGTTATTGTTTAAAGTGGTTCACTTGGTTTTTTGTTTGGGCTGGGTGTGGTGTTTTAGACAGTGTCTCATTTCTCCCCTATCACCATCCTCCTGCTTTAGCCTCCTCGATATCTAGGACTACAGGCACATACCACTGCACCTGGTTTACTTTTTTTTTGAATATCTTTTTTTATTCCCCTGCTCACCAATATTGAATTTTCATTTTATGACTCAGTTTAGTGCAAGTTCCCTATTTGAAATGGAGTAAGTCAACAGATTGTGTGTACTTGTTCTGAAGTTAATATCTAGACTTCTCAGTCTATCAACCTGCCTTGATGCCAACATGAAGGATAGTCGTGTAACTGCATCTCCCTAAGTGTGTTGCATATATTTCCTTCTTTAACCCCACCACAGCCATACCATATAGGCAACTGTTATTTTCAATTTATATATAAGGAAACAGAGGTAAAGAGTAACTTGTCCTCTACAACCAGGAAATCCAGTTCCAAAGTCTGTGCTCTTATCCAAGTCATCCCACCTGGCTAGAAATACGAACTCAGAAATAATTGCAAAATCCAACTATACGTGCCCATTTTGTTTCAAATGCCTCTCTACTACTTCCTTATGTTATAGATAGATTATTCTACAATCTCTGTTCTGCATATTCAGGCCAGGAGGTCACAGTTAGGGAGCTATACAGCTTAAGCACAGGAACCTGCTTTTCTGGCTTACTTTTTTATTCACTTACCATATATTTTCTATTTTCACTCGAAGATGTATCTGGAGTCCCTTGACTATCACGATTAATTATTTTTCCTCCTTGTGGTTTATTTTCATTTAAATTTTATAACAGTGTTATTCGAGTTAGTAAAGATGGAACTTTTATGAAAGACTCAATATCAAAATTAAGTTGCATTGCAAGGTATTATGGGTAAAATGGAAAGGAAGAGCACTTAAAAATCTCTATTGAGGTTCTCTAACTGAGTCTGTTTGAGGCTAATGCAATAGTCTGTGCTTGATTTATGATGATATATTCTGACGTATAAAATGCTGTTTGTAAATAGTTTAATAAAAGGCTATTGCTCCAATTTTTGAATTAGCAGTGAAGGTGATTTCTATTAGAGAAGACATTTGTGGAGGATTTTGTTCTTGATGCTTAATAATATGAGTTCTTTTTCTCAATACAGTACATACTGTTGACTTGTAGCACAGCTCTGGGGACCTGCTGTTGTATGCAAAGAATAAAAACATATCTCTACTCATTGTTCATTTACTACATTTTGGCATACATATGGCGAAATCATTTTCCTTATAGTTCCCGGCTCAGTTTTTTCCTCCTGATTGTGCCTTAAAAATCTGTGCATAAGGTTGCACAGAATCTGAGTTTAACCATGTGAATCTCCAAGCCTCTTTTATTAAATGACATTTCTAGTATTTTAATGAGGGTTTGACATTTTCACATGTTGCAATTTTGTTTTATTTTTATATTCATTGAAGTGACTTTCATGCTGCCTTTGTGTGATGTCGATTTACAATTTCTAAAGGTGCTTGGAGACACCTTTTCAGAAAGAAGAAGTACATCAGGAAATCATTCAGGATTCTCAGTGTTACTGTTCAGACAAGTACGTTTTTGAAAAATGACTGGCAAAGCTTAAAGTGTAGGTTTTTTGTTCTGAGCAACATCAAATACTAGATTTTTTTGAAATGGCAAAGGCCAAACATGCTTTTGACCAGGACTTGCAGATGCAGACACCCAGAGGGCTCCATGAGTGACATATGTGAAAGAGGCAGGCCCAGGGGATGTGGAGGGGGCATGCCCATGATTGAATTTGCTCTTTCTGATGGTTGTGATGAGGAAATGACCACTGTCATTAGATTTTCCAGTATTTGGGAATGTGGATATTTACGTGCAATATTTTGGCTTTTAACTGGTTATTTCTCATCTAGAATTCTAGTGCACAGTAGAGACACTTAATATGTTCATAGTGAATGGCCAATGATTCCAAATGGCCAAAAAGGAAAGGAACTGAAAGGCAAGATGTCTTTTAAATGACTACCCCAAAACCAGAACCTCATTCCAGGAATATTCTATTGCCTACTAAGGGCATAGAATTCTTTGGCATCATTCTGAGGTAGTAGAAGTGACCAAGCTGAACCCTCGGGTTTTAAAAAATCACAGTCTACAGGGAAGTCTAAAATATAATAAACATAACTAAAGTGTGTGAAGTCAGATAATTTCCTAAAAGAATATTCAAATAAAATTCAAAGGAGGGAGGGGCCAGAAGATGGCATAGTGGTTAAGATGCTAGACTCCAACATGGCTGACCATGGCTCAAGTCCTGGACCTGGTAGCTTGAAAACTGTGCTGAGTGCATGTGTATGCATACCCAAAATCCCAAAAAGAGGTTGGAGGAGAAGGGATTGTTGTGTAGCCATCCCCTCTGGAGGATGATTTCTCACTTTCTCTCTCTCTCTCTCCTGGTGATCATACACACCCTATAGCAAAAACCTAAAAAAAAAAAGTTCACATCTAGTTAGTGAGACAGAATGAATTCATGGCTATTGAGATGAATCTTGACTATGAATTTACAATTAGGTAGATGTGGGCCAGGAGGACATTTTAGGTGGAAATCAGAAGAACCAAGTTATGGAGTTGAAAAAGCATGGGTGTAGGGGATGCTCAGAGAGCAAGAACTAGACAATTGTAAGGCAGGAGGAGAGCTGTCAGAGAGGAGGCAGGAAAGGGAGGTTCTGTGTATGTTACTGCTGACGTTGAGGGCTAGACAGACAAATCTATGCAATTACTTTGGTATACTGAGACAAGCCATTGATGCTTTTTTTTTTTTTCAAAAATTGACACATAATTGTACATTTTATAGGATACAGTGTGATGTTTTAATGTATGTGTATTTTGTATAAAGATGAGATCATGATGATTAACATATCTATCAGGGTTTTTTGTTTTTGTTTTTGTTTTGTTTTTCAATAAAGACAGGCTCTCCCTATATCATGATCCTCTTGCCTTAGCCTCCCAACCAGGACCTCAGGCACATGGTACCATACCCAACTCTTTTTTAGACAGTATTGCCCAGGCCAGCCTCAAGTTCATAATCGTCCTGCCTCAGTCTCCCAGGTAGATGGGATTTTATGTACACATCACCACATCTGGCTTTAGGTTGGACTGGGAATTAAATGTGGGCCATCCATATGATCCCAAACTCTGAAGCAATGTCTTAGCAGAGGAGGCCACTGCAGCTGGACCCATTTATCAGTTCTTTGTGCTAAGACTATTCAAGTTTCTCTCTTCTAGATTTTTCAAAATATGCATTATTGTTAACTAGAGCACCAGAACTTATTTCTCCTATCAAATTGTAACATTGTACCCATTAAAATTCCCCTATCCCTCCTTCCCCATCCTCTCCCTATTCTCTGGTAAGCTCTATTCTACTCTCTACTTTCATGAGCTTAACTTTAAAAAAATTCCTGTATGAGTCAGATTATGTGATATTTCTCTTTCTGTTTCTGTCTTACTTCATGTGACATAATGTCCTTCAGATTCATCTTCTCATGAAAGACAAGATTCTTTTTTATTCTTTTAATGACTGAGTTATATTCCATTGTGTATCTATGTGACATTTTCTTTATCCATTCATCTATTGATGGACACTTAGGCTGATTCCCTATCTTGGCTATAGTAAATAGTGTTGCATTAAACATTGGAGTGCAGGTATCTCTTAGATCTCTTAGACATACTGATTTTATTTCCTTTGGATATATATATGTATACACACACACACACATACACATACATACAGTGATATATATGAATATCATGTATATATATATCCAGTAGTGGCATTGCAGATTATACAGCAGTTCTATTTTTAAATTTTTGAAGAAACTCTATGCTTTTTTTTCTATAATGGCTGTACTAATTTATATTCTTACCAGCAGTGTATAAATATTCCCTTTTCTCCACATTCTCACCAACACTTACGTTTTGACTTTTTGATAATAGTCTTTTTAGCTGGAGTGAAGTGTTATCTCATCTTTTTTTCTTTAATGAGAGAGAGAAAGCATGCACAAGGGGAAGGGATAG